GGGAGAAGCGGGACAGGGAGCGAAGAGAGAGGGCGGAACGCGAACGGAAGGAGCGCGAGAAGCAGGAGAAGGAAAAGAAGGAGAAAGAAAGACAAGAAAAGGAACAGAAGGAGAAGGAAAGGAGGGAGAAGGAAAAGAAGGAGAAGGAGAGAAAAGAAAAGGAACGTTTGGAGCGCGAGAAGGCGGAAAGGGAGAAGAAGGAGAAGGAAGAGAAGGAAAAGAAAGAACGCGAGAAACGGGAGAAAGAGCGCCTGGAGAAGGAAAGGAAGGAGCAACTGCAACGGGAGAAAGAACGACTGGAGAAGGAAGTGCGGGAACTGGAACGCAAGGACAGGGAGAAGGCATCTGCTGCTGCCACTACCACCGCCAAGTCCACAACAACCCCCACCACGACACCAGCAGCACCAGCAACAACAACAACACCATCGCGATCAGCAACAGCGTCGCCGTCAGCAACAGCGGGCGCAAAGTCGCCCCGCTCTGCGCGGAAGCAAGCGAGTGCAAAGGAGGATGAGATGAGCCGAAAGCTTGCAGAGCGGCAGCAATCGCTCAACACGCTGCTGAACAAGGCGACAGAGCTTGCGTCGTCGGTGCAGGCCGCATACCACACGGACAAGGAGGCGATGGATGCCCGCCGGCGGGAGCGGGCGGCGCGGGAGGCGGCGCGGCAGGAGAGGGAGGAGGCTGCACAGAAGAAGAGGGAGGCTGACAAGGTGCGCATTGAGGAGGACAAGAACAAGCGCATTGCCGAGGCACGCGACCGCATTGCAAAGGAGCGGGAGAAGGAGAAGCAGGCGGGCGTCAGCAAGAACATTCGCACAGAGGTGTCGACCAACCCCTTTTTCTCGTCGCCATCAGCACACCTGCCCGTGCCCAAGAAGACCCGCAGCCGTGACGGCTCTGCATCCCCATCCACAACACCTGCCTCCTCATCCACGTCGTCCACGGGCACCACGCGTCGCTCCACCATCTCCAGTGCCCGCCCCTCCGCCGCAGGGACATTGTCATCGCCTGTATCGAAACATCGCACCACCACCACCACCACCACCACCACCACGCCAGCATCACAGGCGCAGCGCAACGTGTCTGCGTCGCCGTCTGATCGCGGGCGGAGTGCATCTGCATCTGTCACGCAGTCGCCGCGATCCCCGCGCGCCGGCCGCTCCACAGCAACAGCGGCGCCATCGTCGTCCCTCGCCACCACCGCCACCACTGCAACAGCAGCAGCAAAGTCGCCCGGCACAGCGAGGAAGCACGCCACACCGCACCGCACACCGGCGCGGCAGCAGCCGTCAACGCCATCCGCGACCACAACACCAACCAGCAGCACCGTGTCACGCACACGCACCACGCACACGACCACGCACGCGACCAAACCCACACCTGCCACCTCCACGCCCTCCTCGGCATCAACAGCAGGCGATGCAGATGCGACGGCGGCGGAGATTGCGCGTGCGCGGCGGCGAGCAGAGGCGCGACGCGAGCTGGAGACGGCGCAGGAGGAGGCCGAGCGGAAGCGGCGGGAAAGGGCGGCCATTGAGGAGGAGAAGAGGAGGAAACTGCAGGAGCGCATCGAGGCGAAGAAGCGCGGCACTATTGTGAGCTATCGCTTTGTTGTGTTTTGTGTTGGTTGGGTGGGTGGTGAGGTGTGTGTGCGTGTGTGTGTGTGTATGTGTATGTGTTTGCTTGCTTTGCTTGCTTTGCTTGCTTGCTTGCTTTGCTTGCTTTGATTGCTTTGATTGCTTGCTTTGCTTGCTTGCTTTGCTTGCTTTGCTTGCTTTGCTTGGCCATACTTCTCGCCTTTCCCCGCTTCGGACCTCACACGCCTTCAACCCCTCACCTTCCTCACTTTCTCCCTTTTCACGGCAACCGCTTCGCGTCAGTCCGAGACGAAGCAGTGGCCGCAGCTGCCGGCTGCAGAGCTGCGACGCATCCAAGACGAGCGCCGGCAGCGATTCCTGCAGCAGTCACACGACGACCGCGCCGCCCTCAAGACATCGTCAACGCACTTCCACGCGGTGTACCTCCGCATCTTGGCTGCGGCAGACAGCGTGTACGGCAGCACGGTGCCCGTCACCAAGACCGGCCTGGAGGACTTCCTCAAGCAGAGTGAGTGACGGCTCGAAGGAGTGTGTGTGTGTGTGTGTGTGTGTGTGTGTGTGTGTGTGTGTGTGTGTGTGTGTGTGTGTGTGTGTGTGTGCTGAGCCTCTGTGTCTGTGTCTGTGTGTTGAGTGTGTCTGTGTCTGTGTGTTGGCCTTTCGCTGCTTTTTGTCTGCACGAACTCACCACCATGCCAACCAACATCATCCCTGCCCCCGACACCGTCGCCGTCACAAACATGCCCAGGCCACATCCACCTGTCTGGCTCTGTTGATTCGCGGACAGTTGAGGACGCCGGCAAGCGCGTTGCAGAGACTGCCGCCCGCTATCTCAAGGCTGCCGAGGTCCGCACAGCCGTCGTTTGTTTGTTTGTTTGTTGTTTTTGTGGGTGCGAGGGCGT